GGGGGGGGGGGGGAATTGATCCTGCACACATCCCTAGTAGTGAGTGAATTTACTTTTGAGCAGCACTTCTTGCAGATTGTGGTTCTTAATCATTAAAAATGGGAATGCTTTATGTGCATTTGTACCAATTGCTGGACCTGAAACTTGGAGAGAGGAGAAAGCAAATTAACACTAGAATATGATTGTTCCTAATTTAGTGCATCATTGAGTCTCACGTTTCCTGCTCTGTGGGTTTCTGCTATGTAAATATTGCGGTGGTGATGCACAATCTGTCTCCACTTTGTGCCAGTAATACTTAAATTAGGGGTCGCCTGAAGGAAGATTTTATGCTAGTTGCGGCATTGTCAGTTAATTATCTTAAAGGTTATTTGCTATAATCCAGTTTGCCTCTTTTTGAAAGAAAAAAAAAAAAAAGTTGCAGCTAAATATGTTTATCTTAGTTGCAGCCAAGCCCGGGCTAGTTAAAAAGCAAAGTCCCGATGTCAGAACGGGGAGCGCAGATGAGCGGGAATGGCTCACCGGTGCTTGTGTGGTGTTCAAGTGGGGGACAAATCTCTTTGGTAGTGAAGTTCATATATAAGACCATGCAAAGGGTCTCACTTTCTCCAGTGCCGTTATCAAGTTTTCTGTACATTTCTTCGCTTTCTGGTGGGTAGAAATAGATTGGGGTGTGTGCCTTCCCCGGTCCCCTGCATTGCCGATGCTGCGACGTTGTGCATTAGAAATGCCAAAAAGGTCAAAGCAGAAATGATGCTTTCATCTCAGAGTAAAAGTGTAACAAGGTTATTTGCTCTTGCTCTGCCCTTCTCTTTGCTAGGCTATCGCATCCCCTCAGTGGTATCCGGGTCTTTCCAATACACCCACGACTATTTGGGTGCTGTCCTGAGCAGTTATTTCAGGGCCACTATGAGGATGCTGCCTGCCTGTATCTCTTTGTTCTGTTCCCTCAATTTTGAAACATAGCTGTGCAAATGATTTAGAAATAGAAATAGAAAAAGTATGACTCGTTTTGCCCGTTATTCCTATGTGCAAAGCTCGGCTCCCTTACAAAAGGCATCGTTACAAGCATGCTGCTGGTGCAAATGTGTAAGCAGGTAGATGCAGAAAGAAAAAAGTCAGACGACATACTCAGCAAAATACCGGTTATGTTTATGATGTGTATCATACTATCCATTCAGCTGAATTTAGTGTCAGAAACCCATCTAAGGAATGCCTCTGTCATATGAACAATCGATGAGGAGACTGGACTAAATTTATCTCTAGTCCCAGTATCACACAATCATGAAGCCAAACATGTTTAATATTGACGAATTCTGTATTAGGCAAGCATTAGTCTCGGGATTTGGTTTGAAGCTGTTATTTTACTGACATAATGCTGGTTCCTTGCTTATATCAACCATTCAGGGGAGGTTTGTTTGCATTTGGGGAATTTTTTTTTTTTTTAAATGAACACTTTTAAAATAGGTTATAAGCTTCTATCATCAGCTGCAAGAACAGATCTGCTGAGGGTTTGTGGTTTGGACTATTTTTTTAACCAAGCAGGTTGCATGCTTCATATATTTTTGCATGTAGCCGTCTATCGATAAAAAAGGCCTGGCAGGTTAATATGTGAACTTCTGGGACTGGTATCACTGCCGTATTGCTGGGCTTCATAACAGAATTGGAAAAACAGTTTTCCATGTCATACTGCAAACTTCTCATCCCAGTTTGCAATTTGGTATTATAAATGTGTCAGTAAGAAGAGCCTGGACGGTCTGATTACTTGATTTTTTTTCCAAAGCAAACATGTCTCACCGAGGGAGCCTCTCGCTCCGCGTCCTAGCGACATGCTAAAATGTAAGTAATAACTCTTCCCCTACCACCTCCTGACAAATACTCCACACAGCGGTTTTAGTAATCCTCATGTCCTAATGAAACACCTCTTCTGTTTTCCTTTTCCTTTTATTATATGAAAGTGTTCATGTCAGTAAGACTAAAAATATAGCTGTGGTTAATATGGTTGAGACTTGCATGGGTTTGCCATGTTATTAATCAAAGTTGAAAGCCTGGAAAAAATAAATGTGAGGGATTTGTGCGGCTGTTTGTGTGGTAGATAAGTTGCTGGTCTGGGGGCTCTGGGATCTTAGTTTGTTATTAATTGGGTTTAAAGTCTGATGCCCTTAGTCAACAGCATTTTATATTAAAATACAGTGTATTTTATATTAAAATACAGTAATAAGCTTTTCTAATCTATTCCAGTTTGAGAGCTACAATTGCCGTAGTAATCTTTCTTTGAGAGAAGGCTGAACCAGGCTACTTCATCCTGGGGGCTGAGATGCTTTGACATAGTAGCCCCCAAATGTGAGTACTGAGGTCAGGAAAAATTAGGATCTCGGATGAGCACTACGGAATCAGAGATGCTGTAGCAATGTCCAAACAGAAGGAAATTAGAGAGCTAACCAGCTAGCCAAAAGTATTTGGGCTTACCTTACCAAGATAGTCCAGTCTGAGGGGTTGTTTTGGTTTGGCTTCTAGGTTGTTTTGGTTGTGGGGTTTTGGGGGTTTTTTTACATTTCTAATCTGACTGAAAAATAGCCTATCTAGGAAATAAATAGTAAAGTTGTAGTTTGCACAATTACAAGACAAATCTTGAAAAAGTACATTTAGTATTTTATGCAACCATTAAGTGCTCTCTTTTATCTAGAACTTTGAGATCTAAAAATGAAAAGTACTTAAAAAGCATTAGTTCTGTATCATTTCAATATTTTTGCAGTAGAATTGCATTACTAGGGGATATGATTTTCAAAATGAAAAAATTCATCCTAAAGGAAGCACGCGTAGCTGTTGGGAAAGTCTAAGTGTAAGATAAATGTCAGGGTGTGTTCAAAAATGAAAAAGACGGGTAATAAACATTGTTCCAGTAGTCTAAAGGACAGTTTCTGTTCTAAATTTCTGACATGTTTGTACCACATTAAACAGGGAAGTGATCTTATAAATCCAGATTAACTGAGTCGAAGAGGGTAGAGTTAGTGGGAGAAGTTACTAGCCAATTTCAAGAAAAAGATCTGACTTCTGTCAGTGAAGGTACGATAGTCTTCACTAGGTACGTAACTCCTGCGCTTACATTACCGATACACTGGCTACCGGAACATAATCTCTTCTATAGGTAGCTAGTGTTCATATATGACAAGAAAGTAAGACGCTGCAAATGCGTTTTTGAGCCACTCAACTTGTAAATACATCAGGCACAATATCATTATTGTAACAGGATCTTCCCAAACTGTCTGGTTTTTAAACAAAATTCAGGCAGAAAGAAAAGCAGAAGAGTAAAGTACGAGATTGCTTCCACATTTATCTCATGTACTAATTTCTAAATGCTTTCAAAGCACCCACACACTAAACCAGGGAGTAGCTAAATGCCGCCGAAGTCACCTGTCACGTAAGGATTATTTAGGGTTAAGGTAAGTAAGTAATTCACAAACCTGAGCTGTAACATGGGTTGAATATTTTAGATCCCAAAGGGGCAAAATAGAAGAAATATCTGTACATGCCTCATACGAATGCTCAGAGCTCTAAGAAGACCTTTAGCATATGTTTCTTGCATTATATTCTGTGCTATTGTATATCATGTTCCCGGTGGCTGAGGAATAATATATATGATCTCCAGCAATTTGACAAACTATACAGCTTCATTTATGGACCTTTCCAGGATTATGAAAAATCTGAGGAATGCATTTATTTACACAGCATCTACCCAACAAAGGAATGGAAATTTCCAGCAGTGGCTCCCTTATAATGCTCTTTGTTTAGGAAAAGCTACCCCAAGCCACTGTATCTTGGAGACGATGCGCCCTCGTGCTTGGGCCAGATCCAGCTCCCACCACCGCCCAGGGAGGCCTCTCCCTGCTGCCCTCCCTCTCCCGGCAATGCTGCGGCCCCAGGAGGGCTCTCCATGTACAGCCCAAGCCACGAGGGTGCCATCCCATCCCAATCCAGC